CGCTCCCCGCCCACCCCCGGCCCGGAGGTGCGGGAGCGGGCCCGGCCCTGCCCGGGCGCGGATGTCCGGCCACCCGGTGATAGAGCTGCCCTTAACACACGTGGTCCCGAGCGGGAATGCGGAAATGGGGGAGCTGGGAAAGGGGCAAGCACATGGGCGCATCATTTGGACTTGGTCGGGATTCGGGTCGGGCCTCCAGCATCCCTGTCTGCTGGGGAAAAATCACCTGAGCTACAGACACTGGCATTTATCCCGCTCTCTGTCCAGGCGTACTGACCCAGAGATCTGTGCTTCCCGTTGGCTTGTCTTGCATTGCCTGGGTAGCCTCATATTGCAATACATATAATTTTTTATAATGGTTTGCAGCCAGGCTATGAGAGTCCTGAAGTGCAGTTCTTAGTACTGATTGTATGCAGTGAACGGGGTGAAGTTTAGTGGTTCTTAAACACCTTTTTTCTTTTCGGGGAGGGGGGCTGTTATGTATCTCAAAATAACTTAAAGCTTTATCAGACGACGAGGTTTGGGGTTTCGTTTTTTTCTTTGCCTTCCTGTAGCCAAGAAGTTCTTGGGAGGCCAGAAGTCATCAGGGATACTGTGTATCTTTTAAAGGATGTAACTACAGGTGAAAATGCCTCTTCGTCTTAGTAGTGGCTTTCTAGACAGATGGGGATTATACGAGTTCATAAAAGAAAAGTGAACTTTGACCAGGGTTGTTAGTTAAAATAATTGGTATGCAAAAAATGCAGCATTCCCTACCCCCCAGTTCAAGCTGTATGTGTGGTCATATGTTGTATCACTCCCTTTTACTTTTCTAGTAGCTGTGTAATAACTTTTTGTATTATCAATTTGTTAATGCTTTCAAAAAGGAAAGCTATGAGGGACCAGCACTTTTGTCCTGGGCCTACCTTCTTGGTTGTTTTTTCAAACAGAAGGCCTTTTCTGATACCCACGTTCCGGGTAATGACCAGTTTTAAGTTTATAAGTTGGAAATGCTAAATTATCCATTTGTCTTTTGAAGCCAAGTACCAAAGTGTGATTTGAAAACTGTACTCACTTCAAGTGTGAAATATTAAATGTCTCAAATCAGGCTGGAGGATGTTACAATTTATGTTGTAATGCTAGTTAACATTGATTCTTGTGTAGGTCTGAAGTTTATATCAGCAAAATTATATTGTTGCCCAGGTTAGCAGGGTGACAGAGCATACTTCTGTATTCTAGGGGTCTATATGTGTGAAGAAGAAAAGCATTGGCTTTTTCTGAAAGACACATTGACCACAACCATCCTCTTTATTTGCCTTAGGTTTTCTTGTGCATGGGCTCCTTCTCTCATGCAGCAAATCTACTGCAGCCCTTTGCAGTAAAGGTCATCTCTGTAGCAGTTAAACTGCTTCTTTTGCATTGTGGCTTCAGTGGAAGCATGCATCTCAGTTTCCCCTGTTTTTAAGCACAGGCCCTGAGGGAAGTCTTCACAGTAAGAACTGTGGAAAAGTGACCCATGAAGGCCTGTTCTGTTACTCCCAGATTCTCTTATGCAGTGGAACCACTTATTCCTTTCCATTCATATGATGTTGGACTTCCTTCAAAGGTACTTGTTAGATGGGAATCCAGAAAACAAAATTTAAATTCTAAAAACGAAATTCTTAGGAGTGCCTGGACAAGAAGAACAGAGTTTCTAGATACAAGGTTTATAATACTTGGCTGGTGAGAAGTAAATATTTGTTCAAAGTGTTTCAGAGCAGGAAATGCAGTGGTAAGGGAGCTCTAGAATGTAGTCCAGGAACCTGCTATCTGTAAGAATTTAAAGCATTATCAGAATACAGGTATTGCATGAAGGTCCAAGATTTAAATTTTATTCTAGACTATGACTTTGGTGGCAAGTGTCTGAATGATAGTTCTGTTTAGGTATCTACTTTTTCTTAGATCTTATTTCTGTTTTTTGTAACTGCATGTGGACTTGTAGAACATTAACTTTTTTCATGAACCTTCTTTCTGTATCTGTGGCAGTCCATGGATTTCTTATAACAACTTTTTCCACTGGAACAAAACCAAAAAAAAAATGAGGAAGGGTAGGGTTAAAGCAAAACCACCTCTAACACCAGCATGCATTTACATGAAAACACTGGGATTTCTAGTATGGAAGATGGGTGGTTACTGAAAGCTCATTCAAGTGCATAGGAAAAATCTTGTAAGCTTTTCTAATACAAAGGGGATCAATACCTTAAGACTACCAGTTCTTATTAAATACAAGTGAAATTTTGTGTTCTAATTTACATCTAGTAGCTTTAAAAAGTGGCTGATGTGTTCACTGCACATGCTTAATACTGTTTTCATCATATACTCTGAAGAAATTAATTCCTTGTCCTTTTTGAATCTTAATTTCTGCTTTCCCCTCCAGGCCAATGAAGGTGCTACTTCTGCACAGTACTAAGAAGAGTAAGTTTTAATGACTATCTTAAAAACCTGTCCACTGGACTCTTTTAGCCTTCTCAAGTCACATTCTGAATTACTTGAACTTCAAAGTGAAAGAAAAACAAAAATATCCCCATACATTTCTGTTTTTAAAGGCTTTTTTTTGTGTTGGTTTTGTTTTTTATTTTCTCCTAATTCTGTTTTCATTGTTGAAATGATCCACTGAGTTTGCATTTTATTCTTGTAGACTCTAGTATTAAGTCAGTGATGTTTGTATTAAAGGTTTGATTTCCTCTTCCTCTCCTACCTCCTGTAAATAGGATGTCCATTTAGGAGTTTATAACACAAGAACACAAGCATCTCAGTGTTCACTTGACTTTATTCCTACATTCATTTGAGGTAAGGAAGTGTGTTCTCTGCCTGTACTAATGGCAGTCTTGTGTACCTGTCGGCAGCTACACAGGAAGTTTTGAAAATTACCAGAAAATAGGAACCCACATCAGAGTCCCAGATCAATTTCTTACGCAGTAGATAATAATTTAAAGAGAGACACATCCCCACTTTTGTTACTCTTGTGGCTTATTGCACAAATTCAAAATGTGATCATCCTACTATTAAACTTTATCACTACTGTAGCTATTACCTTTTAAGTGCCTTATTGCATGCTAGGATAAGGTTTTGATGGAGCTGTGGTGATGGAAGAGAGAGGAAGTGCAGCCAACCATCAGATAGGCAAGAGAAGACAATCCTGTCTTATTTTGTTAGAGCTGATAGTGGAATGCTTCAGTATGACTAGTTAATTTTCCATGCCATTGTATGAATTATCATTGAAAACTACTTGTTAGATATAGGGCTAGTAAGCTTGCCTGGATCCAGCATTTGATTAGAAGAGTGTGTTTGCTTAGGGTATATATGATGTTAATGCCACCTGCTGTCTCAGAGTTACTGTCAATCTTGCTCTGCACCTGGAGGAAGTAGACATTAAGGAACTACCTGATGAGTGTACCATTTGTACATCTGAAAATGTAGGGTTAAAAAGTCCTGGGTTTGGTGTGCTTCTCTGGATAATTATTTCTACAATGTTTTTCCCTCCTTTCCCAAATATTTAAGTGGGATGGGGATTCAATTTATTTTCTCTTGTTTTGCTGACAGTCAGGACTTCTACTTCATTGTTTTATCTTTTGACTAAAATTTTGCTTCTAATCCCACATTTGTGATGAACAGAGATGTGTCTTCCTATTGTCTCTTTCTCTAAGCTTTTTTCCTTCTGACTTGTATGTTATCATAATAGTTCTTGAGGATGAGAGGAAGAGCAAAAACTTTTGTGATCCTGAAAGCCTTAGATAGCCAAAAGATGCCCACACTATTGCTAGTAGACAGCTGTTTGAAATTATTTAATCTTAATTGAGGTTTGGTTGTGAAAGGAAAGGTTTCTTGCAGCAAGGTATGCAAGAACTACATGATGAAAATGAACTTCTCTTCAGCTTCAGATACTTACACTCCTAGTAGCAGTTTTCAATTACAGCATTATTTCTTGTCGACTCTTGAATCCTACACCTTTCCCAGTTTTTTCATGGAAATTTGTAGGGGAAAAGAATAAGGATAAATAATGAAGTTGCATCCATTTCCTAGTGCGTTTTGTCTTAATCTGCAGAACATCTGTAAGATTTTTTTAAATCATTTACAGGTAGCACTTCTTGAAACTTGCAGTCTATGGGTGCTCACTTGTTTTTGGGATAAGCTCTGTAGAGTGAATCTAGTGTGTTGTAAGGATGTACATGGAGAAAGTTGGAAGGAGGCAAAAAAAGGTACTCCCAAACTGATAAATTAAAAATCTGCTAATGCAAGAAGGAAGCAGAAGTGTTACTTGAAAAAATGTGGCACATTTCTCCCACCTCTGAAGTTATTTTTTACTAATAACTTCATGTAATAAATGGGGTTAACTTTTGATTGTCCTTATCTGGAGAAATTTTAAGTTCTATAGGAGTACTGTTCCTGCAATTCAACTTTTGCTGTTTCTCCCATGTGTGAAGGAGCTGGGTGAAATTCTAGCATTTAAGAAACAGCCATAACACTTCTTTTGATACTTGCTTTTAGCCCCAGAACACTGGAAGCATAGGAGTGATGTGTGTGTGTGTGGTCAAGAGGGTAAATTAACATGTACCTCGCTTTTGACTGGCAAGTTATATTGAATGGCATAATGTCAAATTTAGCCTTGCTTGGAGGACAGGGTTGGATCAGAAGACCTTGGGATTTTTGCTTTCAACCTACATTTTTTCTGTGATTTTTGTAATATTTCAGCTTCTACATGAAAACAGTTTGTGTCTCTGTCTACATCCAAAACTTTGAGTGTTACTTGTGATCACTTATCAATTGCTTTTTGAAAGGCTTACTCATTTCTAGGTTTCCACTTGGAAAGTGAAAATGAATAGGAAAACTGGACTGGCTTTTAGGATTTTGCTAGTATAGGTATAAAGCATGTTAAGCTGCTGCCTGTACTGAAGACACTTGCAAATCTGCTTCTGATTTTGAGCCAGCACAAGGGATGTGACTTTTCCCTTCCTCAAGCCAGTAAACCCTAATCTTGTTGGTAAAAGGAGCATCTGTAGGCTATGCCTCAAACTTTCCTAAAGTAGCTGTAGTCTGCAGCTGGTCTTTGTTGGACTGTGATGCGGCAGATGATGGTTAAACTGTCCTTTCTCCTTATGTCTGCTTCTCTGTCTTTCAACAGCACGGGTTGCTGTTGCTTTCCAAGAGTAGCTTGACTTGATGTGTTGAGAGATAAGGTGGAGGTAAAATTTTCAGTATGCTTTAAATATTTTTTTTACACTGATATGGGGCTGAGGAATCATGTCCATCTTGACACTGAATAGACTTTAAGTTCACCAATTAATAAATGACATCATTCACTTCCATGTGTTTTGACTCTGACTGTGATGTGGATGATCTTGAAGTGAATATTCAATGTATTCTGTATTAATAATACAATGTTATAGTTGTGTAATGTTGCTAAATACATCAGCAAAGCATCTACTTTAAAATGCAAATGACATGAAAGCAATAATGCTAACATACATAAAAATGAAAATATATTTTCAGTTTAAACAGACCTTCAGCTTTATAAGAATGCCAGTAAAATTGTGGTAGTTAGGAGGAAGCCTGCACTTTAAGCATTTTAGCTCTTAGCATTTATTTCTAAGTTACAGAAAACTAAAGAAAATTCTGCAAATTCTCTTGTAAATCCTTGCCAATGAGAAGGTAAAGAGTATCCCCCACATTTCTGTGTGAGAAAAGCAGTGATTAGAGGACCACCTGCCTACCACCATGCTTGTCACCTTAGAGAGAGTTCTGTCTCTATAGTGGATAATTCTTCAAAGTCTGTGTCAGCATCCTGACTATGTGGACTTCTGTGATTCAGCTGGAAGTTGAAATCTTCCAAAGGGCTTCTAACTTGGTGGACAGATGCACTGTAAGATAGTAGAACCTTTTGGTACATTTGCATATTGTTTGATATCTTCTAATTGGTTTCCACCAGGGTAGAGATGGCAGTAGGAAACCCCCATACAGTGGTAAGGAAATACTAAAATCAGCTACTGCCTTGGATACTTACAACCAGCTTTCTTGAAATACACTTTCAAACTCAGTTCTACACATACCCTGCTCTTGTCTTTCCTCTGCCTGGAGAATGTGCCAGAAACAAGAGCTTAGATTTCAGGCAAGTGTACCTGCTTGAAAAGTTCTAAGTTTAACAATTATTAGTAAAAGTCTCTGAGTGTATAGACTTCCTACTAGTTTGCTTAGATGTGGATTGTCACATTACTTAATTTGAACCAAATCTTTAATCAAATTTTTATTGGTGCCGTGTTTGTGATATGTGAGGCAACATCTATTCTTGGTGTGTTATTTCCAAAGAGTCACTTACACTGCAGTCCTTTGCCAATTTTTAAAGTTCTAAGTGAAATATGTATTTTCTAGTCTATTTAGCCTAGTGTTACATTGCTGAGGAGGTGAGTAAGCAATTGAGTTGATAGTTTGGCTTCTGTGTATTCTTTTTCCAGTAAGGTGCCTGCCATTTAAAGCAGTGTGGGCCATATTGGGCTTTATTGTAGATTTACTATATCAAGTAAATAGTTTATTAAAAATAGATTATTGCAAAAATATGTGATTTTAATACAGGTTTTTTTTGAGGAGTTCTAAAATACTTTGTGTTCAAATAGCTGTAATATAATTGTGTGTTACACTGAATGTTATAATCTAAAGACTCTGTTTAGATACATCCATGAAATGTATATACTCAGGCCTATGTCATTACAGCATATTGCATTCAGAGTCTGAGCTTTTTACCTGTGCAATGAAAATGGCTTCAGTTGTTGCTTGTCTTGGCTTTTGCAGAACACTAAGGATTATACTGAGTACAAGAGCAGCACAAAAAAGGGTAATTGGCAATTCCTGTAGTCTGACTTAGTGGTGAAGTTCAGTTTTCATCATAGTCATTAGCAACAGACTTGAATTAACACCACAACACTGGAAGTTGCTGTGCTTTGTTGATATCAATTCAGAGTGTTTGCAGCCAAATGTTAAATGTTTCTGAATCAATTCAGTGGGTTCTCCCCTTTGGCTCTTGGCTTTTTCTTTTTTTTTTCTTTTAATAGAGAAGCAGAAGTTAGGCATTAAAGTCTAATGATGAGAGCTTAAGACTTTACATAGTAGTGTAAAAACATGTTGCTCCAGGATATATATTTTTAGATGTTTAGATACATACAGTTATGGATTTAAATAGAATTTGTTCCTTATCTCATGTTTATTTTTAAAGAATACTCAAAGTGTGCTGTGTTTGCATACAAATTGAATAGTAATATGGATTGGATTCCTTGCAGTAATTCTGCTATAGAATTTAGATTTGAAAAAAGTGTTTTGACTTTGCTTAGTCTTCTTAAGTTTACATATCTGTAACACAAATCTATATGGCTTTAAGTGATGAGCTTTGTGGTTTGATACCCAAACTAGCTTTTACTTAATTACAAAAGATGCCATGGCTACCTATTCATTAACTTGTATTTGAGAAACTCTGGAAATGAAAACCTGACTGTTTTGTCATATTTCTGTCTCTGCGTACCATAGTCAATTGAAAGTTTTTTTCAGTGTAAAGATCACTGAACTGCTACAATTAATCTTGTCTACTCCATGTTAGTCTGTTGTTTAAATGTAGTTCCTGATAATCCTGTGGCCTTTATGTATTTAATACGTATGTATATTGAAGTTTTTATATATAGCAGAAATATTATTAGATCCTACTGATTACTCTGGTTACTTGTAGAACTTCTTGGAGATAGGCTTCTTACGATGGGCCTCAACCATCTTCTCTTTCAGAGGTGCCTTTTCAAAGGAAAAAAGAGCCAGGACTCCTTTATATGAGAGGAAGTTGGCAACATGGAATACTGGTTCTAATTTTGAATAGGTATGAAGCAGCAGTGCAGTGCTTTCCAGAACTGCTTTAAATTAGGTTGAAGTACCTATTTCTTACTTTGGTTTTCCTGAGAGTTCAATTTTAGATCCCCCATCAACAAATCCTTCTATTCCTTCAAGTGCTAGCCTGCTGTAGAACTCTGTTATGCCAAAGTGAGCTGTACAGTGAACAGCTGGAACTTAGGCACAAATGTTTTGGGTTATTTTTAAGTAAACAGTAATTGGAGTAGGTCTTTGCAAGAATAGTGGTTTTTTTGGGGGGAAAGTAATAGAATAGTAGGGACAGGTGATTCTTGGGATCAATATATTTAAAAAACTTAGTTTGTTAGAATAGAGACCAGGCAACTCTTTATAGTATTTAAACCTGCAACGTGTGACAAACTAATTATGTAGGTAGTCTCAGTAATGCAGCATAACTGAAATGGCTTCTCTTAAGAGGTGATCTTCTACTGCCCAGTCATTGACTGACATGTGAATCAATAAATGTCATGATATAACTTGAGCTATGCTATTTGGATCTTTTTAACCTTTTGTATATACTAGGCCTTTAGTCCATCTTCATCTCTGCAGTACATGACCCAAATGGTAGCTCTTGCAGCTTTTATGTCTGACCTACATACATGTGGCTCTTCTAGCTATTTCAGACGTGTAGCTGGTGTAACAAAAGTTGTTATTACAACTCTATGAGAAGCACTTGTCTTCAAGGTCCACCAACTAAATGTATGAAAAGAGGGCTTGAAATTCTAGTATATGTAATAAATACTTGTGTTCACTGTTGAACTAACTGGATGCTGTGTCATGCCTTGTCTTGACTAAGTTTAACATGACATCTTCCTTCTGCTTCTTCTCTTAAAAAAAATATGCTATTATTTGTTTTGCCTTCACTCTCTTCTTATCTTTGTCTTTGTTCTCTCCTGTGTAATTTACTCATCCATTGCTAAGTTCCTCTTCTATTCTTTCTTCTTCACTTCCGTATTGTTCTTCCAAGTTGGATAACTGGAGACCTTCATTCACCAAGGAGGAAACTAAAAACTGAATGTTTGTGGATGCAACTTGTTATTGGTTGGGACCAAAGAGAAAACATCATATATTCAGTGGCTGGAAGTAATACTCAGTCTCTGGGCTTAACAAATTTATCTGGTACTTCAGGTGGACTTTGTCTTGACTAGTTATGTCTTTATGTATTGACACATTGTTTCCAGGCACAGTGTCTTCATTTGCTCTTACATAACTGGTACTAGAGAATATCCAGGAATCTTCTCTAATTGTATTATTTGTTTATTTAGGTACACGGGGCAGGAGATTCTAACTCATTTGTTAAAACAATACCTTTTGTGAGACAGGTTCCAGCTTCAGAGATTCAGCCTGGATTGGTTTTTTGCCTTACTAGAGTAGGTTTGCATCTTGGATAAAAATTGCATTTAGTCTGTCCTCGTCTTCAGCTGTTTGACCTGTGTATTATGCAGGTGCTTGAATGAAAGGGTAGCAAAAGGTGCACATATTAATCTTTGGTGCCTTCATGGTATCAGTCATATGTACAGCAGATATCTTGCTCTGTCTAGGAGTTCTTGTTCTCGACTTTTTTCCAAGTCCTGGAGTCTTTATCAGGTGGTGAAAAATGGGATCTGGATCATACTGCTTTGAAATAAGCTGAAGTTTTTGTTTCTAGCAACACTGAAAAGATACTGCTAATTTAATTATTATGAGCTGATAGTTTATTTTAAAGATCTACTGAGAATTTAATAACTTGCTCATAAACGCTAAGTGGGATCTTTACACTTGATGGACTTCTGGGACTTGAGGCAACTTAAAACTTAATTTTGAGTGAGCCCTTTGTGGTTTAATGCCAGTGTAGGATGGAGAAAAGACTGTATCAGCTACTGAATGTTTATAGTTCACTGTAGCCTTCACTAGTGCAGTGAGCTGCATTTAGTTAGGCTCCTCATTTCTTGGAGGGACATGTGAAGTTCAACTGGAGTGGTCCCAAACCTCAGAAAGGAACTTCTGTGGAGTGGCAGGATGTTTTGTGGTAAAGAGCACTCATCAACCCATGGGTAAGGATAGAACTGCTCTAGCTGCCCAGCTGGGCTCTTGCCTCTGTCTCCAGATTCCCAAGATGTCCTTAGGTGTAGGGTAACAACAGTGCCCATGTTGACAGTAAACTGTAAAATGCCAGGTGTTCAACTTCCCTTCTTTTGTATGATGACAAAATTATTTTTTTTCCCCCTTTGCTTAGATTATCTGTTATTTTTCTTCTCCTTTTGTAATGAAGTGCCAAATGGATAGATAATTTAATCTTGGATGGATTGTTTGCTTCAAGTGCAACTTCTGAGCTTAACAAGAGGCTTAACAGATAAGGAGGAGGGCAAACAAGTGACTGGGTTTTGTTGGTGACAGTGTAAAGAACCTTCTAACACATGATGACATTTTTTCAAAACCAGTTTTGAAGAAGGAAAGCCAATGTGTAGGCAGCTGCATGTTTCTTGCAGGAGTGCGAATGGAAAATAGACTGGTATTCAGTATTTATCTTCAGTCAAGAAGCAACTTAGATTGTAAATAAACTTCAGTTCAATTGGTTAAGAGGATGTTGCAGTTGAGCAGCTGCAGTACAGCATGAACTAGTGTTAACCTGAGGACAAAACTTGGGTAATTACTTCATTCTCCTGTCAGGTGGGGTATAGGGTGGGATAAGCATAATGATGTTTGTTTAGTGGTTCAAAAGGGATGATTTGCCATTTGACTTGCAACCTTATCTATCATGTTGTTACTGCATTAAGGTCAAACTATTAAAATACAATCTAACATAAGCCAAATGCTAGTGCATGTGTGGGAGCAGGAGCCAGGCATAGCTCAAGAGCAGCCTGGTGACAGCTCTGTGTATGGCTGGGACCTCAGCTGATAGGTTGTGGAGTGGAACAGAAGGAAGGTTAAACAAGCTCTTATAATCCCTTCTGCCCTGTTCTGGGGATCGAAAGCTACATTGTTGTAAAATGAATGTGATTATCATGTTATGTCCTCTCTGGAGAAGACAAACCTAATGCCTTGCAAACCGAGAAAATGTTTCCCTTAGCATAAGGCTTTACAGAAAGTGCTGGTTACTTGTTAGGCAACGTGCTACTTCTGTTACTACAGGAAAGTTGAATTAATGCCTAATTCATACTGGGATTTTTAATTCTCATCTCTCAGAGCTGATTAGGGTGATGAGAAGTCTTGTGCATATCAAATGGGGCAATGGAGATCTAGAGCTGTCTGGAGAAAAGTAGGCAAAGGTTTAAACTATTCTTTGCTCACAAAACAGGGAGGAATGGTTTGTATTGTGTTGAAATAAGGGTAGTTTTGCTGGAAGAAACTCAAAACTAATAGGCCTGCTAGCTTTGGGCTGTAATGCATCAGATGATCTAGTGCTAATCTTTTGTAGCTGGAGAATGATGGCACTCTGTTCAGTGCAGGTATTTGTGCAGTTCATGTTTGCCTCGAATAAATCTGAACCATATTTGGCCTTTTGTGCTATGCTAAAAATGGAAGAATTTGTTAAAAGTTACCAAAGGTGCCTTCTTCAAATAAGTTGACTTAATATGGAAATTAATCTTGGGTAGATTTGGAGTTGATAGGATGAGTATCTAGCTTGTATGTTTATAAACATTTTCTAAAAGTGTGAAATTAATTCTTTTACTGCTCTCTCTAGGGGATATTTTTGGTAACATTTTCAGGGCATCTTGTTGATGAAAGAGAAACTGATAATAAGTGAGGTTGATTATTTCATGTTCTTTACTGACTTGCTTTTGGTGTCCTGCTTTTTCAAAGCTTTTCATGAGGCTTTCATATGAAGCTTTAATTTTCCTGAATCTTGTGTCTTTCAAATGGTAGCTACATAATGTGGATGGGTTTTCAAATGATTTTTAGTAAATGCAGCAAAAGATCTCTGAAAACGTTTCATTTTTTTATTTTTTTTTTTCCTCTCTAAAGGTTTGGACCCCATGGAATCCCTGTGACCATATTTCCTAAAAGGGAATACAAGGATAAACCCGAAGCCATGCAGCTCCAAAGTAAACCATTCCAAGATGAGGAACAGGTGAAATGTGAATCTAATGCTGCAGTCCCTGATGACTCTTCTCTCACGCAGCCATCAGAACCTAGCATAGCTAAAAGCCTATGGACTTCTAAACCACCTCCTCTCTTTCACGAGGGAGCGCCATATCCTCCTCCTTTGTTTATCAGGGACACGTATAACCAGTCAATACCTCAGCCCCCGCCCCGGAAAATCAAGCGGCCCAAACGTAAAATGTACAGGGAGGAACCCACTTCTATCATGAATGCTATCAAACTACGACCCCGGCAGGTCTTATGTGACAAGTGCAAAAATAGTGTTGTTGCAGAAAAAAAGGAAATAAAAAAAGGTGGCAATGCAAGTGACTCTTCAAAATACGAGGACAGTAAAAAACGAAGAAATGAGAGCGTGACTACTGTGAATAAAAAACTTAAGACTGACCATAAAGTGGATGGAAAAAGCCAAAATGAAAGCCAGAAAAGGAATGCTGTGGTCAAGGTTTCAAATATTGCCCACAGCAGAAGCAGAGTAGTTAAAGTTTCTGCACAAGCAAATACTTCAAAAACGCAGTTAAATACAAAAAAAGTTCTCCAGAGCAAAAACATGGATCATGCGAAAGCTCGGGAAGTCTTGAAAATGGCCAAAGAAAAGGCACAGAAGAAGCAGAGTGCAACCTCCTCTTCCAAAAATGCACATTCAAAGGTCCACTTCACACGGCGTCTTCAGAACACCAGCTCAGGTTCCCTCCCACCCCGATTGCGTTTAAAGCCACAAAGGTATCGGAATGAAGAAAATGACTCTTCTCTCAAGACAGGACTTGAGAAAATACGGAGTGGCAAGATGGCAACTAAGCCCCAGTCTCGCTGCTCCTCCACCCGCTCAGCAGGTGAGGCCCCTTCAGAAAATCAGAGCCCCTCAAAAGGCCCTGAAGAGGCCAGCAGTGAGGTTCAGGACACAAGTGAAGTGCATGTCACTGTTGATCAGGATGAACACCAGACATTGGGCAAGAGAGGCAGCAAAAGCAATATAACGGTTTACATGACCCTTAATCAAAAGAAATCTGACTCTTCCAGTGCATCAGTTTGTAGTAGTGATAGCACAGATGATTTGAAATCTACCAACTCTGAGTGTAGCTCTACTGAAAGCTTTGATTTTCCTCCAGGCAGCATGCATGCACCTTCTTCTTCCTCCTCCTCTTCAAAGGAAGAGAAAAAGCTCAGTAATTCCTTGAAAACGGAAGTGTTTTCCAAAAACGTCTCTAAATGTGTTACACCAGATGGCAGGACCATATGTGTAGGGGACATTGTTTGGGCCAAGATTTATGGCTTCCCTTGGTGGCCAGCCCGTATTCTTACCATAACTGTGAGCCGGAAAGATAATGGCCTTTTAGTTCGACAGGAGGCTCGTATCTCATGGTTTGGCTCCACAACAACATCTTTCCTTGCTCTTGCACAACTCTCCCCCTTTTTAGAAAGCTTCCAGTTGCGCTTTAATAAGAAGAGAAAGGGTCTTTATCGCAAGGCCGTCACAGAGGCAGCTAAGGCTGCTAAGCAGCTGACCCCTGAAGTTCGGGCCCTGCTGACGCAGTTTGAAACGTGAAGATGGAAAGTAAGGTAGGCAAGAAATCTGGAGGCTCCACAAAATTGATAGCCTAGTTAGAGAACTACCATGAAGGACTTGCCAAGTCAGAAGTTGCACTCGGTTGACTGCTCTTTTTATACTCAAGTTGTTCCATTTGTAGGGGTTTCTTGACAGTTACACAAATTGAACATGCAATCGAAATTAGCCTAAAGTGAGAACTTCAGTATTTTTCAAGTGAGAATTTTTTTAATGAAAAAAAAACCTCCTCAAACATCCAATGCATAGGAGCCATAGCCTCAGCTGAAAGGCAGCTTATTTGCAGGGAATTTTTTAGTAGTTTCTACCCAGTATATAACTAGTTGCTGTGTGGCAAAGGGTTAACACAAGGAATGAAAGTAGTAGCTGTGACTTTTTTGTTGTTGTTGTTGTTGTTAGGTGGCCCATCAGGGAAGTGTAGAAATGTGAGCCTTGTCTAAATGGTCTTTGGAGATTATTTTAAACAGTCTCTAATGTTTTTAGTCTGGCCAGTGCAAAATGGTTCAAAGCATGCTTAAACATCTTAGGGAGACATGCCCCAATCCACACAGGCCAGTTTAAATGGCATTAGAAGACTTGCTGAAATTTTTAAGGAAGAAGAATTCACGTAACTTAAAAGACCAGATTAAATGGGGTTTTATTGTAGTGACCACTTAAACACTCAGCCTTTCTATGCACATGGGGGCAGAAATGTAACACTTCAGGGTCTGAGAAGCTGAGAGGGATGCCTGTAGCTCTAAGACAAAGCTGAGAAGTTGCTCAGTTTTTGGGATCAAGGGCTGTTAATGCTGCATAGGTATGAATCATAACTTCTGGTCTTTCTTCCTGAAGAAATCTTTCAGGCTGTTTGCCTGGAGGTTTAGATTAAGAGAGGCTTTGTTTTGAATGTGTAAATAATTGATTGCTGAAATTGGTCAGATTTTCTCCTGACTGGTTGTTCCTAAATTCTTAGGATACGTCCTGGTAAATTACACTTTGTGAATTGTCAGATGTGTAATTGTTGCATTTTGGATGTATCTAACTTCATTTATTTTTTTTTTTAATATTTCCGTTTAAGGTATCTGTTTGCAGGTCAGAAAATGAGAATATGTAATTGTGTAATGCTCTGAAATGTAAAAAAACAAACTGTAAATAAAATTGACTAAATCTGAATTATTTGTGTGTGTTTCTCAAAAAGCTTTGAAAAAAATCCAGGATGTTAGAGTACTTGATATGTATGCCAGATTTAGAGGACACCCTCTTAAAAAGTAAATTGTCCTTTTTCACAGAATCTTAAAAATTACTGCTTGATTTAGGGTACTGTTGGTATACACTTCAGTCTTAAGCAATTATCTGTTCCTTTTGTTTCAGACCTAGCTCTGTAGAGGGCTTTTGGTAAAAGTTTTATAAAATTTATCCCTTAATTAGATTTTGTTCCATATATTTGAATAAAGACTGTGGATAATGTCAGTTATACAGTGGGGAAATGTTTTCAGTTTTCTCCATCTATCAAGCCCTAATCAGACCCATTCTCCACTATTAACTTCAGCTTTTCTTGCATGTCTTTTGCTCAGTGTTGGGCCATTTTCATGCAAATGACTTTATGAATTTTTTTCCTTCTAGTTTTGGTCCTTATCTGACCATGTGAATTACTGTCTCTTCTCCAGCCCACTCCTGTTTCAGCCTTGCAATGCCTTGTGAAGAGTCTCAGCGTTCATCCCAAAGCAGTTTTCATCCTGTTTTTTCCATAATTGCCCATGTAGGCAATCATGACAGATGGAAAAATTTAAGCTTAGACTGAAATTAGATTTTAAACAGACATGAAAATGGGGGTAAGGATTTAATCATCAAACCCTTCCAATCTTTTTAACTTCAGATAAAATTTCTTGTGTTCATAATACTGTCTGGTCTTTCCAAAGCATTCAGTTTCTTTTTACCTTTTTGAATTATTCTGTTGTGTCCACAGAACTATTGCAAGTCTAAAGTGTCAGATATGTGGCTCTTCAAATTTTACTCAGGTTTATGGTCATCTCTGTTAGGTGCTAATTAAGCTTCCAAATATAGCAGCTTTACCTTGGCATTCTAACAGTTACCAAAAAAGTCCCATTGGTCAATGCTTTTTGAATGTGATAAACACACAATAAATTTTACAATGTGCAAAAAAAAATTGGGAAAAAAAAAATCCTGATTCACTTCTATGTATTCTTTCCTGCAAACAGAAACAGTTACTTTATTTAAGTAAATAAGCCATACTTTGTTATTAAATCAGACTGCTTTTTGAAGTCAAGAACCCATACAGTGTGGTTTAGATGTCTACACTAGTTCCTTGAGCTTTAGAAGCTCAAGTGAACTGGTTAGAAGTTAGTTGTTCTGAGCCAAGTAGTGGTGAAATAAATATTTACATTGTTAATTTTTCTTTAAAAGACCTGGAAGCTTTGTACTCGTATCTCTTAATTTATATGAAGTTAGAATAGTACTAAAGTATACATAGTCACAGTTTGCTCAGGTGTTTGCTGGTAAGATGAGAGAGCAGCAAATATGAGAGGGGTTTCTTTAGATTGTTTTATGCTCAAAGGAACTGTTTATGAAAGGCATTTAGCAAATCTTAGTTTAATTTGTAGCTGATCAGTGTTTTAAGAAGTCTTTCCTAAGTTTTGTAAGTGAATGTGCAGTGTCACTTCAGATACCAGGTTTCAAAACATAGACTTTTTTATAACACTGTGTTACATGAGGTTGAAAATACCCTCCCTGTTTATACTAGTCATGATTTTCCTTCCACTCTGAAGTAGCTGCCACTGTATATAACAGAGTTTACAGTGATGAAAATGTTGGCCGTAAGGTAAAGTCTGGTTACAGTGAGTTACCTTGGTTATGGCAGTATGGATTTTGTGTGTAGATTAGCTTTGTAGATTTAGTGCTTAGTGCTGTTTTATCTGTAAACTGCAAGAAAACCCCACACTTCAGTGAGCCTCTTTGCTCCTAGCAATGCCTACAGTTGGAGTGCAGACTGCTGCTCTGAGTGTTTGGTACACATCTCCCATCTCAGAGTGAGCTTGACAGTTTAAATGACTTTTATCAAATAGCTGATGACAGGAGCAGGCCTATACCAGTGCCAGGATAGTGCATCTGTGTAATTAAGCTGTGCAACTGTTGTAAGTAGCCTGTGTCTTGAGAAGGCAAACATCAGTAGAAACAGTGACTGCTGGTTTTCTGTCAGTTTAATATAATAAATGGTAAATTATGTCTTTTTGTACTAATGAAATTCCTCATTAGTTGTTTAATAGGCATGGTCTTTCATTTTAGAGGGGAAAACATCATGGGTGGTGATGAGTTTCTGGTACAAGATTTATTTTCCTTTGAAGATCTTTAGCTTCAGTTAAAACATTTTGGGAGAGAGTAGTTATTCCAAACTTAGTAACTGATTTCCTTTAGCAGGAGTGTTTGAAGGTGTGGTTGCTTCATGAGTAAAGCTGAAAGCAAATGTGAAATGCTTCTGTCTCTCTGAATTGAAGTTCTACAGAAAATTGAACAAACAGTTGTTACTTCTCTAATCAGAGTTGTATTTTTATGTCAACACTTAAATGAGGTGATAATCTCTGATTATATGGTATTTTCTGCATCTTTAGTTTGAAACCTACATAACTACCAGCTACCTCACCAGGAGGGGATGTGTTCAGTGCTGGTAATTTAGGTCAACTCTGCAAGGCTGATAAGATTTGTTTTTTTTCAGCATGTTGTAAAATATTATTTTAAAAGTAGTTTCTAAATATGATTGGTTTTAAGAACTAGCACATCACTGGAAGTGAGGAAGGAGTAAGAGTTGCTTTTTGCATTGCTAGCCTTGCATTTGTCTCTAGTTAACTCTTTAAAGTCCTAAAACTAATTTCCATTCATGTCTTCTATAAGTTTTTGCTTATAGAATAGGAACATGATTTTTGGGAAATAAATCTTAGTAGCTAATCCTCAGTAGAATTATCATTTGTCCTCATGCATGTTCTGTAAAGTGCAGTGGAAAAATAGGGTTGCCTTCTTGGCAACTTCTTTCCAAGACTCCTGGAAAGGAGGAGGCTGACAATCAGAGGCATTCTTAGTTCATCTCTTTCAGTGGTACTCCAATAAATGCCTACAAGAATAACCAAATTCAGTCAATGCAATGAGATCACTAGGCTGACATAGATAAAGAACTGAAAGTTAAGTAGAATGAGCTTATGGTGAAAAGGGCAGTAAGATGGCAGTAGTTTGTGTCACAAGGCATTTGGTAAAAGTGTAGGAATGCTATTTAAAAATACACTTAAAGTGTTCTTAGAGTACAGAGTTTATAGTGGTTAAAGGCTGAGGTGCTTTATCTTCCTGTTCTTATTTTCAGTGTACTTTTTAAGGGTATAAAGAGAAAGGTCATAGGGTTCCTGGAGGAGAAGAGAAGAACTTGATGTGATAGAGGAGCTAGATGTATGGGAGGGAAAACTATGAGTTGGTTATTTGAGAATAATAGGTTACTCTGCAAGTTGAGTAGAACAGAGTAGTGCCTCTCCTATGTTAGCTTGTAGGAGACACTTGGTGAAACCTATGTCATTGTCCCACAGTTAACTGAACTTCATCTAGAATCTGCTTCACACTTGGGAAATGGAGTCACCTTCTACAGGTCTTTGTCAGTTTAAGTTGTGCTTACGTTAAGTGTGTGTGTCTATTTCTTTTGTTAGGATAGGATATAGTAGCAACCTTTTAGAGATATAGACAGACTATACTTGAAACAATACAGTAAAATCCCTATAAATAAAGAAAGTATCAATAACAACAGAGGTTTTGCATACCTGACTTCCTTAAAGTTTCTTCTGATATGACTAGTGATGAGGCATCATCCATTTTTAACATCAGGACAGACAGGCCTGTAGCATTGAAACTTTTGTAGTAGCTGTGAAGCTTCTAAAGATCCATTAAATCCAACCTTGTGAGATGCGAATGTAAGTATTAATCTCTAAAATATTCTCAATCTGTAATGGGAATTACCTGTTTTGCTACAGGTCCTTAACAGTCATGATGGCAACTTCCTATTCAGCATAGTTTCCTCTTATGCTGTCACCCTGTTAGTGTATTTAAGAGTGGGCATTTAACTAGGCAAAATAAAATTCCCTTGTAAGATGGCTTTTCATTCCCTGCTCAGGCTGGTTTTTCTTTGCACCTGTTCTAGTTTGAACTCCTCTTTCTCTGACATTGGTGGCAAGGACTGTTTACAGTAATTTAGGTGGGGTTTTACAAAACACCTATGGAATGGCCATGATTCTTCCATCAAGCAGAAGTCTCTCTGATGCTTGCTTTTTAATTGTTAGGTCCTAATAGCAGCTTATACTTTCCTATGATTTACTCATACATTTTGGTCTTCCTTCTGTAGCCCCTGGGATGTGCATACCAGTCCAGACTACAGTTTAGATTGATTTTTTTTTTATTTTTTTTTTCCTTAAATTGAACTGTGACATAACTGCCCTTCTGTGAACACAAGGCAAAATAGCAGTTCCCAGGCATGGATGTGGAGAGAGAGATTTGGTGACTGGCCTGCTATTGAGCATTTTCCCTGCACATTGTTGCTACCAGATCAGACAGTTGGGGATAACTCCCTGGGGCAGCACGAGCAACTCGGTGCCAAGTACCAATTGTTGAAGGGAACTCAGATCCACAGCTTCATTATTTTATTTTTTTTCCCTGAGAAAAGCAATTTATATTCTTGGTATGAAGAAGGAAAAGCAGCAGTGTGGGAAATGCACATCATTGATAAGTCCAGGGCTTTAATACATAAGAGGACCTGAGCCACCTTGCACATACAGTAGGGAGACAAATGGGAGTGGGAGATGGTCTTGTGTGCCTGCATAACCTTCCCAGATTGTTTCTGGATGCACAGGGCAGAAAACTGAT